TTATCATTATAAATGTTTTTAATTTCAAATTATCCTTCAACAAAAAAAAATTCATTCCAAACGGAGGTAATTTAATAGAATTGAAATTCGGTTTGAAATTATGTGTATGAATATCTTGAGTTAAATTTTGTGTTGTATTTAAATCTGTATTAGAGTTCTTGATTTCATTATGCGTTTCTGTTGTTGTAAAATTACGTGTGCGTGTGGGTGATCTATGCATGTCTGGAGAAGGAGTTTACAAATATTTAAAAAAAAAATTAATTAAAAGATTAATTATTTGTTACAAATAATAAAAACCTAAAACTGATGTGCTAAATAATATTGTTGATTGTTGATATTCTTGATGTTGAATAAAGTTAATTTCTCCAATTAAATTCCAAATCCAAATGAAATTGATAAACTTCAACAGAAATCGGTGCACAAAAATTGTTGTTATTTCGGATTGAACATTTTTCGAGTACATTTTCTTCTCTTTATACAAAAATATTTTGATAAAGTTTTTAAAATTTTGATTTTGATTGATTTTTACAATTTAAATTTTCTAAAATTCTCGTTTTATTTGATTAATCACCATATTTGTTAATTTTTTTGATGCGATTGATCTTGTTAAAACTAATGTTTAAATGATCACAGATAATATGTATTAAAAAATTGAAATTATTAATTTGACCGCAGAGTTCAGTAAAGTTATTTGTATGTATCTTGAACTAAATTCGATGAGCAGGATCGCCAATTATATAGAGAACGAACGGTTTATGTATGAATCTCTATATATAAATGTAAACACAAGTAAATTATAAATATTTAATTTTTTAAATAAAATTTGATCTTATTTATTTGAAATCGAAAATTAAAATGATTCAGAAAATATGTAAATTAAAAAATTTAAAATCGTAAGTGAAAAATGTTAAAGAAGATTCCTGCACTTACTCCCAATTTGATCTTATTTATTTTTATTAAAAATATTGCTATCATGTGCAGAAATGTGCGCATTGCGTTTTCAATTTTTCTGCTTCTTTGTGACATTCCGATGAATGATTGGGAAAGTGTCGCTGGAGCAATAGACACTTTATTCAATATCCGATATGAAGCCGCCACGCTTACTCCGCAACACAAATCAAAAACTTCGCGATGAATAAAAGCGCAGTGTTAAAACCAACATTTCCGCTGACCTACATAAGTGCTTGATTCCTGCAAATTATCAACAATATTTTATTACTCCAAGCTTATTATATTATTTTTGGAAACACGAAATCTACAAAAAAAACTTCTTCATCATATATGTGAAAAAAATTTATTTGTTCACGGCATGTTCATCCCCTATGAATACGCCTTTGAATCAACGCAGCCAAATAGGCAGAGCGTTCCCTATTTTCCCCAATAAAATATATTTTAAAGCCAACATCGGAATACTATTTTATTTATTATTTTACAATTTCCAGTTGTCAAATTATCTTCTGGTTAAGAGCTAATCGCCACTCAATGTTGGCGTCAAGTTATATATAATATATATAATTAGCGCTTTGTAACCTTAGTTACTTACTTTACTGGCGTAGACACGGCCTATGCGTATATAATCGATCAACAACAATGCGCCGTTCGTTTCTTCTTTTTGCTGTTTGACACCAATTGGAAATACCAAGTTCAGCCAGGACCTTCTCTACCTGATCTTTCCAACGGAGTGGAGGTCTTCCTCTGCATCGACAACCTTCAAATCTGAAGTATTCGCATCCATACGGATCACATGACCTAGCCAGTGTAGCCGCTGCTTTTTGATTTATTTAACTATATCGGGGTCGCCGTATAACTCGTACAGCTCATCGTTCCATAGTCTGCAGTATTCGCCGTTGACAACATGTAAGGGATCATAAATCGTAAGAAAAACCTTTCTCTCGAAAACTCTTAACGTCGTCTTATTAATTATAATTGTCCATGCTTCCGCAGCATATAGCAGGACGGGAACGATGAGGGACTTGCAGAGGATGAATCGGCCGAAAATAGATTCAACTGTTACAAAGTGCCAATAATATATGTATACACTCAAAGCGACTTCTTTACATGTGGCCATAAAGGGCGCATATTGGCGTTCCCGATTGTCAAAGTATAGGTAAAGAAAAATACGAAAAACTATTATTTAATGAATTAACTATCATATTGTTTACATTTCGCTTTTTGAAAGACAGAAATCGATAACTACAGCATGCTCTAGAGAGCGTGTATCGGAGAATAAACTGCGTTCATGGAGAGTTGTACAGTTAGGTCCGATTTCACAATGGCCGATTAAATTAACCTTTAACCGCATGATAGCTAACCGTCAGATAGACTGATGTGACATTTTCGTTTTCACCAAGTTCTGGTTACTTAACTTCTGGATATTTTGATCATTGTGGATATTTTATATTCACAAAAAATTGCGTTGTGAATACATCAAAACTGCAGGACAGCTGGTATTTGCTTACATTTTTCCACACGATATGGTTGAGTAACTCTTAAGATCTTCCGTTTTTTCTTTTTTTAATTTTATTTTGTGGTTAAGGAAAAAAATTGCAATTTAATAAAATTCATTTCATATATTTTTATTTGGGAAATAGAGAATTTGATGGTTTTATATTACATGTATAAAATGTTTGAAATATATGCATGTATATGGTTTCCTTGCACCTCAGCTATGTATGTTTTCGTCGGCATCAACGGATGTTTCTGCTGGTTCATTCGCCTGAACTTCTACCTCATCCAAATTAGAGTCATTTTAGATAGCAAAATTGTGCACACTCTACGGGCCACAATGATGTTCATAGTTGTGCTTAGCTCCTCGATTAGGGATTTGATATTCATTATAAAGACGTTCAACGCGAGGATTGGGGGTTGACATATTATGCAGTTGCTGACACACCACTTCCACCCAATTAAAGGAAGTGCCTAAATTCATTTTGCTCAAGCCGGTGGTTCAAACAGTTATTATTAAAAATAATGCTGTCATGCCCAGAACCAGGTCACCTGCATACAAAGTCCATTACTTCCATTTTATAAGTACCAGTTTCTGATTCGATAACTTTCGGCATTTTCTTGCCCAGGTGAGTGGACATTGACATGAGTGCAGTCTTAACATCCCAACACCTTTGGAAACTTCGCTATGAAATTTGCGCATTGTGCTCTCGACTGCCCTGCTTTTGTCGGTATTCTGGCAAATGATCGGACGAGTGCCGCGCTAGCAATAGATACTATTTACTACCCGACTGGCAATTTATTGCGTCCAACACTGGAACACAAATTAAAACACTTCCCAATGCATAAAAACGTAATGTCAAAATCAAAATTTCCGCTGCTTTTTTCTTGCAAAATCGAATGAATTACCCAAAGCACATTATTTTCACTTCATCATATTCCTGAAAAAAATTTTTCTGTGAAATGGACGTTCTTTCTCTATAATTACAATTTCCAGCTGTTAAATTTGGTTAAGAGCTAATCACCACTCAATGTTGGCATGAAGTTACCGCAACTTAATTGGACATTGTGCCTTAACCGGACATTGTGAAAACAAATTTTATGCTACCTTTCGATTAAGTGCTTAATCGGAGATAGTGAAAACGGCCCTTATATGGCAACTTCCCATCTTACATACCTTCCGTCCATATCATCCTATCTTATGAGAGCGCCATGTAGACGCATAGTTGGCCGCTTGCCCATGGCGGTAGTGACGGTTGTCCCGCAGAAACCAGCGACGATTTGATTTTTTCCGTAAAAAGGGCTCGGCTCATTTCCTTTTGCTATACAAGAAAAGATTGCCAGCGTAGTCTTCTTTAAAGTAATAGTATATAATCGAAGATAATGCGCAGTTTTTTTCAAAATAGATGAAGACTAAATTTGGAACTAATTATTTGTTACCATATAGATCACGTATATTTGATTTGCGTTTATATTCGAACACATAAATTATGAAATTTGTTGACGCAAATTATAAATTTGTTCAAAAGTGTGCAAACACACTAGCAGCTGGCCACATTTCGCCGCTGTCAGCAGCCTCGATAACTCGTGCATGTATCTCGCTATTCCAGTCGGCTGTTATGGACGGATAGTAAGTAAAATGGGTAGTTGTAGCATTACAATGGATCAACAAATTTTAGAAAGGGAAAAACAATATCAAAATCGATGACCCATGTGTGCTCACTTTTTTAAAACAAAGTATTGGTTAGGCTCATATCTAATGAATGCTAATAATAATTTGCAAATTCGTTTCCATATTTCTGTTTGTAATTTTGTATGAGATTGTTAAATATGTATGTATAATCTTTAAATCATATAACTGTTCTCTTAAGACTGTTGCTATTTTATCCAATATATGGAATATTGGTTAAGGTGATATGTTAGCATTAGAAGGTACCTAAGACCTGTTACATTTTTATTTTTTTTATTTTCGTGGGTTAATAATAACTATAACTAGAATCAACTCTGCAGAGTGTGAGAGCGAGAGAGCGAATGAGAGTGATCGCCAAGTTGGTTAAATTGATCTCATCGTTAGCTTGTATTCGTTCACAGACATTCTAGCAATGATGACTAGATACGAAACTCTTTATTCCGTGAGAGCGCTCAAAAATCCGCATTTTTTATAACATTTCTGAACAGTGCCACTGTGATAGAAAAATTACTTCTTTGGATTTTTAGGTATATTTTGGGTATTTTATTACAAACAACGGAGTCTTTAATTGGGATTTCACTAAAATATTTTATTAAGAAACAATTCAATATTTAATTATATTAAGTTTTCATAATAAAATTACAATAATTTCTTTAATATTTACTGCTGAAGCAAATTTCTTTTGAAACAAAAATAATGGATTTTTTTATTGACATAGTGGCACTGGTGCGTTTTGCACATCAGATGTTGAATGTTCCCCGATCTGACACTGCTGCCAACATTAGAATGTGAGATGGGGGAACGCTCTCAGCTGCAATTTGAGTGATTTTGAGTAAGTTTCGTATCTAGTCATCTTTGATTCTAGTCTAGTGGAGATTATTTTTTCTTGGTAGAAAGTGGTTGTCAATATTTAGCACGCACTTTGTTAAGTGAACGATTTGCACATGGCAATTGTTATATTCCAGCTAAGTTGAATGAAAGTCCAAAAATAATTTGCAAAACACTTGTGTAACGCATGGTTGACCTGAGTAAGAAAACAAGAGGCTATAAACCGGAAACTGTAGGCAGCATATCAAGGCTAACATTTTTGTTGAAACAATAATTAAATCAACGCGTAGACATACAAGTGGCATTGAAAATGGCAACAGCTAAGTTCAGTGTGAGTACGACGGGTAATACGGGAGAGGATAGTGAATTGCAGTCAATAGAGGTGGACAAATCTTTGGCACTTGCTTCGAAATTGAATCAGACAAATTCAGGCAGTGCAGAACCAGCGACTGGTTTGACCCATGAATGTGGAGTGTTTGGTGCTATCGCTTGCGGCGATTGGCCAACCCAAATTGATGTGGCACACGTGATTTGTCTAGGTTTGGTCGCTCTACAACATCGCGGCCAAGAATCGGCAGGGATTGTGACAAGTGAAGGAAAATGCTCTAGAAATTTTAATACACACAAAGGTATGGGCATGATAAGTACGCTCTTCAATGACGAGTCAATCAAGAAACTTAAAGGCAATCTTGGTATTGGTCATACGCGCTATTCAACTTCTGCCGCATCGGAGGTGGTCAATTGCCAGCCATTTGTAGTGCATACGCTGCACGGTGCTATTGCGGTGGCACATAATGGAGAATTAGTAAATTCAGAATCACTTCGACGTGATTTGCTAAGTCGCGGCGTGGGATTATCCACCCACAGCGATACCGAATTAATCAGTCAATCACTATGCCTATGCCCGGACGGTGTATCTGAGAAGGACGGACCAGATTGGCCGGCTCGCATACGATATTTTATGCAATTGGCTCCGCTGTCTTACTCGCTTGTGATTATGTTTAAAGATAAGATTTATGCCGCGCGTGATCCTTACGGTAATAGGCCACTTTGTCTTGGAAAAATAATGCCTATTAATGGCGAAGCGAATGCTAAAGTTGAAGATGTACGCGCTGATGGCTGGGTGGTTTCGAGTGAGAGTTGTGGTTTCTTATCAATTGGCGCACGGTATGTACGGGAAGTGGAACCGGGTGAGATAGTGGAATTGACTCGGAACGGTTTCCGTACCATTGATGTTGTGAAACTGCCTGACTACAAAAAAGTATCATTTTGTATATTTGAATATGTGTACTTTGCGCGGGGAGACTCAATCTTTGAAGGCCAAATGGTGTATTCAGTACGCATGCAGTGTGGTAAGCAGTTGGCACGTGAGGCTCTTATAGATGCTGATATAGTTAGTTCTGTGCCAGAGTCAGGTACAGCCGCGGCACATGGCTATGCTAGAGAGGTGAGTGTATTCGCTTTTTAGCCTACATTTACAACAAATTATGTATATACATATATATATATAGTTTTTTTGTTCTAAAATTATGTATGTATATATAAACGTAGGTAAGACCTACATGCGTCTTCTTATCTCTCAACTTTTTATTCAATTGGTTAAGTTTTATTATAATATATGTTATTTTCTACTCAAGAACCATTTCGAAAAATTGTAACATTTGCTGGCAATATCTAAATTTTATTCCTATTTAAATCAATCGATACTTTATCATGGTTGATGGAGTTAAGCTCATTTGTTGTTCCACAGTTGTCCCATTATTGTCCATCATTGCTTCTTTAGGCCTTTATAGTAGATATTTTATAGGTGCATGTATATTTTAATTCGAAACTAAATTGCAGAACATTATTATTATCTAATTTTTTACCGGGCAAATGGTATAAGAACAGTTAATCTAAAATTCTATATATTTTTCTACGAAATTTCGAAAGTTTAGAAGGAATTTAACATAATTTATAATATTAACAAAGTAAAGTGTTTATGTATAAAGACTTTCTATAACTTATACATATGAAAATGTCGTAAAAGCAAAAAAAAATTAATAATATATATTTATTCTCATTTTATGATTTCCCCATAGTCCGGATTACCATTCGCGGAAGTGCTTTGTAAAAACCGTTATGTGGGCCGTACCTTTATTCAGCCATCCACACGTTTGCGAAAATTAGGTGTTGCTAAGAAATTTGGAGCTCTCTCAGAGAATGTGGCTGGAAAGCGACTTGTGCTGATTGATGACTCTATTGTGCGTGGTAATACAATCGGACCGATTATTAAGCTGTTGCGCGATGCGGGTGCAGCGCAAGTACACATACGCATAGCGAGTCCCCCGCTGCAGTACCCTTGCTATATGGGGATTAACATTCCGACTCGTGAAGAGCTGATTGCCAATAATTTGAATGCAGAACAATTAGCGCGGCATGTAGGCGCTGATAGTTTAGAATATTTAAGCGTAGAGGGGCTGGTGAAAGCGGTGGAATTGAATAAACAGGCCTCAAATCCGGGCAAAAGTGGATATTGCACGGCTTGTTTAACCGGCGAATATCCGGGGGGGATACCGGAGGAGTTGAGCTGGTAAATTGTGGAGCCTTTATGAAATATATACATATGTATATAAACCGTACAAACTGTCACAAAACACAACATAAGACATAAATGTGGAAAATAATTTTTAAGACGCACTCGAAAAGCCTTATATTTATGTATTTAAACTATTTCACATATACACAATGACCTGTATATATTAGTTACTTTATAACTTTATTGCATTACATTACATAATTAGCTTAATATTATAAATAAAATATTGATTAAAAGTGTATATTTGTATATTCAATGTATTTTTACATTTGAAAAGTTGAGACAAATGGTCTTACATATGTATGTACATAAAAAACGCTTGTGTTAAAATGAATTGTAAGCAGATTCTGCTTCTTTGGAAAGCGCTCATAGTTTGTTTATCATTGTCCCTTCTATAAATATATAATATATACGTAATTCTGATTTATTTACTTAATTCCCGACAAAAAGCTTACATGCATTTTTCAACATATTTGGATTCTCAATAAAAACATTTGTATATGAGTATGTATGTAGATAAGCTAATAAATAAATAATAACGAAGCCTGTACAGACTTTAGTCGAATTAGCCAAAAACGTAGAAACTTGTCATAGCATATCTATGAAATTCATAAAAATGCATCAGCCGTTCGTAGGCGGCTTAGAATAAACTGTAGGTACCTCTATTTGCTGGAAAAACATCAAGACGCATATCACGAAGGAGGATCGTTTCAACGGTTACAAAGCACTAATTATGTAATCTGAAATAACCTTAAATAATATGTATTTTTATAAAAATTCTGCAATTTTTGCGAGAAAATTCTCAATATTCTCCTATCTAAATTTATAATATTCTTCAATTAATTATTGTTGGGAAAAGGGACAGCTTGAACACTTGGCACTTCTAAGCTAAGTTTCACCACAAGATATTATAGGCCAATATATTATATATACCTGAATGGAAATGATTTACCAATTTGTATCAATCAGATTTTCATAACTAACCGAAGCAGCTAAGTAATAGGATACCTCGGCACATTGAAATCGTGCTAGGTGACCGGGTTAAAAATGCCACCTTGAAACATATTAAGTTTATGGAAGGAAGTCTATTCGAGCCTGGTTTATTCCAGCGAAAAAATCGTAGAAGGTGAATACGAGACCTCACTCAATTAAAATGGAATACATATTTCATCACCAAACGATGACAAAGTTTAAATATCAATTAGCCATATTTATATGACTTGTTTATTTTCGCGGTTACATTTGAATCCGCTCATCAATACAGTTTATTATTTTGCATATTTAGTATATTTTAGTGTTATCTTAAGATTTTTAATAAAATTGGCCCATCAGCTCACCGATCAAGGCTAATTGCAAGGATGACAAATTTTACTGAACCTCGTTCGGTGAGGCAAAAAGCCAGTAAAATTTGTACTGAGAAAGCCCATTTTGTAAGGTTATTGCATAATTTTTGACTAAAAAAATCGTATATGCATAAGTACATACATATGTTCATATGAAATAGAAAATTTTTGTTTCTTTTTTTGAAGACTATACAAATATGTCAAAAGCTTTGAAAAGTTCATTTATATTTTTCATTCGCAAAATAATCGTTTTATTTTGATTTTAATTCATCACTTACAAAATAAGAGTTATTTGCTCGTAGAATAATAGTTACGCGAAGAGCTTTATTTTTTACTTAAGCAATAAGAGTTGCTTGGCCTCGGCAAATAATACTCTCAGGCCAAGTTATAATATATTTTTTCATCAAGACATAACAGTTATATGATGAGTATTACATTCAGATCACGAAGTAAGATTTAAATTCTGAGTAAAAATTTCTGTACTCTTAGTTAATAATTATAAACTGATTTTAATTTATCGCTCACTTAATAAATATAACTCAATGGATTTGTTAGTTATGTGAGTAAATGAGAGGGTGTAAAAAGTTTGGCTTATTATAAAAGATTGACCTCGATTGACATTTTATTTTAATCACATAAGTTTTAGTTGATAATTACTGTTTAAATACACTGCACATGTAAATACTTTGTAGTATATAAATTAAACAAACGACATATTCATTAGTTTCGTTCGGTGATTAGACGGGACTTGACAATTTTTACATTTTTCTGCAGATTTTACTGAATCGCGTTCGTTGAGCCAAAGAGTAAAGTTAGTAACGACCCTGCAAGAACGGGTTGATGGGTTCACCAATGCACTCACACGATTGCGGGCAGTAATAATATATATGCATATATTTTTATTGTATATTTCTCTTCTGAGTACTTGAAAAGGAATGCATTTGAGCGGATTATTCGTTTTATATTATGTTCTTATTTTCGAGTAGAACGCCATTTTTTATCGTTTTCTCCGCAGTAGACAGAAGTGAAAATACATGATGGGGATTCTGCACAAGCTATGGTAATATTATATTTTGGATTTTTAAGTACTTAAGCTTTTTAAGATCAGCTGATTGAGCGGTTTGAATGGAATGGACGCTTCTTATCTTGCTGTAGTAGCTGATTTAAAAATATTCGACAAAACTTTGCGGGGTACAACTGTTATAGACATTATTAATGTTATAACTCGAACATTATTTTTTTCTTTTACTTAGACATCTTTATACTTCAAAGGAGCCGCGATTATGACGGAGGCATTCGTGGAGCTGAGGAACTGCGTCACTAACGCATGGCTTTATTAAAATCTTCTGTATATGTGGTTTCGCTTCCAATATTTTGTAGATTTTTGAAAATGAAAATATTGCTGTATTATTAATTCTTTGTATGCTATATAAACCAAGTACCTGATCTATGTAAAAATATTGAAATAAAGACTAAATTTTAATAATGTTTGTATGTATAGAAAATATAATGGGAAATTTTTGTCAAAGCTGATTTCCTTCGGCATCACTGATATCGCTCATCTTTGTTCGGCTTGTACGACAAGAACGACGAAAATTCACGAAAAAACGAAGAGAGAATGATGTACACGGATACAAATGGAAACATCATATTTGTCATTTCGGCGATAAGAAAGTGATGGGGGAAAATCATTCTACGAGTTGATGGATTCCTGTTATATGTTGCAGGGTAGAGAGCGCAATTTTGACGTTTAGTTTGTTGAGAAAGTTGCAAATTCGTGGTGGGAGAATTTCAGACAGTCAAAACTACCCTGCAAGAACACTTTCGTTCATTTGAGCCAATATATATCAGGAATGCATGATGTCCTATCACGTCAGCTCATAGAACGATTTTTCTATCACTTTCTTGAGGTCGTAATGACAAGTGTTATGTTTCCATTTGTATACGTGTACATCATTCTCTCTTTGTTGCCTTGTGCATTTTTGTCATTCTTTTCGGACAAACAGAACACAGCTGAGCAACAGCATTGATGTAGAAGGAAATCAGCTTTGGCAAAAATTTTCCATACATTCATACGCTTTGACAAAAGTTTTCCCTATATATCCTTCCTACAAACATTATTAAGATTCAGTCGTTATTTCAATATTTAAGATAAATTATGTGCATACAATGGAAGTGACAATACAACAATAAATTCAGTACAAAAATTAGCAAAATATTATAAGCAAGACCGCATATACAGAAGAAGTTTTTAATAGTGATCGCAGCTCCTTTGAAGTATAAAGACATCTAAGGGAAAAATATAATGTTCGAATAATAATGTTATTAATGTCTAAATACAGTTGTACCTTGCACAGTTTTACTGAATATTTGCAGCAAAATGAGAAGCGTCCATTACAGTCAAACTGCTCCATTAGCTGATCTTTCCGTACGACATGGAGTGCCCTTAAATAAACAAATGTAAAAAGCAATGAAAAATAAAGTACTTAATAATCCAAAATATAATATTACCATAGCTTGTGCAGAATCCCCATCATGTATTTTCACTTCTATCTACTGCGGAGAAAACGATAAAAATGCATTATTTTTCAATTTGTATGAACTCAGAAGAGAAAGATAAACAAAAAAAGTGCATATGTGTTAGTGCTGTCGAAATCGTGAGAGTTCATTGGTAAACCCATCAGCTGCTTTGTGACCATATGATTGAATTTTTGGCAAGATGCCAGAACTTAATTGAAACGAAAATTATATTCATTCTTTAATGTAAATGATACACTAACAAAATGCCTGCCTAAAGATGTTAGCCTGGAAATTCAACGCAGAATCTTGCCAACAGGTGCTAATTTGGACTGCAAAATAAAACCTCTGTCTACGAACGAAAGTGTTATATTTACATTCTCTGAAATATCAGTGTGAGGAAGTGAATGCAAGTGGGTCCAAAAGGACAGTGGGTGGCGGAAATGAGAGGTTGAGTGCTTTGGCTTTTCAAAATTCGCGGAACGAAGGGTTGCTCCAGTGGTTTTGTAAGTCAAGTTTACACCACTTAGGGACCGTTTCTGGTGCTGGCAAACATCTAAGCCTGCAATAATTCAAACTTTCGAGTATCGACCAAGCGCCCTGGGTTTAGCATCTAATAGACACCTTAAAGATGGTGCATTTTTCAAATAAGTCCTAAAAAGTGGTAGTGGAAAAGATAGAAACAGAAAAGGATTGTCCAAAGCCCAAGAACTTGGATGAGTTAAACTCCGTAACTATGGGCTACGCGTTTACTAGCGTCAAATTTTCTCCATGAGCTCTCTGAGAAAAATAGAACTGGGAGTGCAACAAGAAGCAAGAGGTGGCCTTCCTAAGTATATGCACTGCCCTTATGCTAACCGGTTCTAGGGGCAAAATTCATTTTGCCAACATTCCGAGCTGGGACGGATCATGAAGCGTTGAAGCTGCTACTACAGATACCTCAGTGAACTGAGATACTGCAAAGTTATGACTTCACAGTAGTTTGCCGTTTAGCTGTTTGCATAGAGAAAGGAAAAATTAAGATGGCCAGTGCCTCCTCCTCCAGTGGAACTATGTCCTGATCAAGGAAGTAAATGTGCCAAGTACTGAGTATTCGTAAAACCCGAACAACAGCGCTGCATCCCTAATCAGATAGCATGGTAGAAGGTAGAAGTGTCGAAGGGCACTTGAGCAAGGCCGTTATCAAACATCAGGATGATTCGATATCCACATACTTCTGTTCCTTTTAGGGTATCGGTCCGCAGTGCACGAAACATGGATAAAACATCAGCTAGGTTACTCTTCGGTAGTGAGCTTCGCTTGCCTAGTGATTTGAAGTGTGGAGTAAATGGTGATGCGAAGAAGAATTGTAAAGGAATCGGCTAACGTCCTTTTCTGAGACAGCGAGCTTAAATTGTGAAAAGGCGATGAACTTCGAAAGTTTTCAAGATGAAGATTTAGTGTAGCAACCCAAGAAAAGTTTGTCTCAGAAACTTCAGTGCAGTTGGGAAGATTTATATAACAGCTTAAGGACGTAATGTATCGAATCCAGACGTTTAGAAAACAAGAAACAAGATGATAGTGGACCACTTGGAAAGGCAAGAGAGTAGTGTGGCAAAAATGGCGAATGCGAATGTGAGAGAAGGAGAGGCCAAAAACTAAAGCAAAGAGTATCGAATGCTATGTAAGAGAGCGGCCAACGCAGCGTTGTTTAATTACAAAGAGATCTCGTTAGTGACAACATTGCGCCAAAGTGAAAATAGTAGAATGCTATAGTTGTAAAATATATCGTTGTGCGTAGTAAAGTAAATTGTTGTTAATTGTGTAATAATTAAACGTTGAGAAAGTCCTTTACAATTGGTTGATTTTTATTTAACAATCCAGTGATCGAACTCGAAGGATATGGGAAATCATCCGGGCGTATTTAACATCGTACACGTACAGTATAAATGTTTAAATATCAAAAGTCTTATCGGACAATACTCAAAGCAATTTCAACAGAAACAAAAATTTCTGTCTTACGTGACCACACGCTTTAATAGAATTAATTGAAACTCTTTCACAGCAAAATCAATGAAGGAAATAAAAATTGCACAAAATTTGTTATGCCTGAGGTCACCTTATATATGCGTAGTTTTTATTACGGCTAGAGAATTTAAGTGAGGACCCTTTGTAAAAGCATTACAAATTTTTTAACAGTGCCTCTCAAAGTATATTATCAGCTGTTTATTATCTGGAACTTGGCTTATAAAACCTTATAGTGTGATGTTAAATATTTTTTTATTTATTTGACTGTTTCTGGATATTATAAGTCCAGCTCTCAGACAGAGTTAGTTATGTCAGCTCAATATAAAAGATTCCTTAAAGTTCTGGAAAAGTGGCCAACAGACAAAACAAAGGTTGGCAGGTAAGTAATCAAGTTATACTGGCATACATTTTCATTTCCATTAAGTTGTAGCAACACGTTATCTAATGTACTTGTGAAATGCGGATCAGTGTATTGAGGTTTTTTTTTATTCTAAGTACCTTTATATGTAAGACGACACTCGTCTTTTCGTTGAAGTATGGATTTTCTTACCTCGCTGCTGATTTCTTTTATATATTACCCTCATTTCATTGCAAACGTTAGAGTAAAAATCGTCACCTTTCTCATTGTCGGTTCGGCCTATCGAGAAGTTGAAAGTTCTTATATTGTGTCGTGTATTAAATCGCTTAAAACAACGTAATTATGAATTCTAAATACGCTTATCAAAAAGTTCCTGAACACTGTATCCTAGGCGGTGCTGCCTTTGAGTAAGTCATTAAAAATAGTTTAATAACATGGGAAATTGTCGAGGGTTGCATACTAACAAATTTTGATGTGTTGATTACGGAAATAATAGAGAAAATTTGCGATATATACTTACATGTAAAAAACAACATAGATTTTCATGCTCATGTCCTTCCGTATGGTAGAACGTACTGCTAAATACTCGGATATTTGTTTTTGCTGTTCGATTCTGTGAATATTGAAAACATCAAAATTTTACAACCCACAAAGATTTTTCAAGAAAATATACTATGTAAGGCGAAGCCTGTGCATCAATTTACGTTAGTGTACGTTTACCTATACAGAACATGTTCCCTATCCGAGATCAACAGAAGTTTTTGTTATACCTTCAATCGACTGAGACATTTTTGTGAACGAGGTCACATTCCCTGCCAGTTACGAAAACTAGTTTTTAATTTTTAAAGAAATTTCTTCAATTTTGGATTTTGGTTCGAACAGGATTCTGACTCCTGGTCTTCCGGATAGTGATACGTACTGCTGAATTCTCGGCTACTACGGCCGAGTGATCAAAAACTAACTAAAAACAAGTCAGGGTCATGGATCGTGTTTTTTCTTTACATTTAAATTATATTCGATTTCTTGTTTGGAAATACATATACTGAGATGGCACACTAATTAACGGGATTTTGAGAAATTTTTGTTTTGTGTATTAATAAGTTGCTTATGTGCTATTAGAAATGACTCATTTCTTAACATTTTGGAGCCGGTTCCTAAGATGTATCCCTTTATTTCGTATTGGCATACCCTGACATCAGAAATTTTTTATAATTCGTTTGGGTTTAAGGTTCTAATTTTTGCTGAAATGCTGTAAAAGTGTTTAATAGTCATTAGTGGGAAATATTCAAAATGGGACGTTGCAAGAACTCCAGTGAAGAGAAAAGGCGCATAATATGGAACTTGTTCCAGGTCGAAAAAAAATATTGAAGAAATTGCCCATTGCAGGACTGTTAGATAGCTGCGTTTGGAAAACAACCTCCTGCCATTTCGGCAGGGAAAGTATTATGATTTGGGGTAGCTTTACGTAGAATGGTGTTGGTTCTATTGTGCGGAAAACGGGTAAACTGGATTCAGTAGCATACCAGAATTCGCTTTAAACTCATCTTCTACTGTTTTTGGAAGAATTACCGTTAATTTTTTTTATACCAAGGCAGTTTTTAAAAGGACAATGCGCCTTGCCATAAGTCGTGGCCTGTGATTCATTGGCTTCAAAACTAATAAACTCGATTACGGAATTGACCCATCCAGAGCCTCTTTTATATTTTTTCTTATTTCTTTATATTTCAATTCCTTTGATATATTTTAATTTTTCTTTAATTTGGTGAAATTCAATCTACATGAGAGGATAAGCTAATTAGTGTGCGAGACCCGTATTTTATTTGGTTTTCATACCTACATACATATGTATGTAAGTATGTTTTCAGTAATCAGTAAAAAAGCAATATTTACATTACTTAAATTTACTTTCTGGTATCTCCGGAGTAATTGTACCATAAGTCTCTCAGGAGCCCTAACAGATATAAGGCTTTGGCCTATCTAATGTTAATTTCCTAAATTTCTAAAGACTAATGCCACAACATCTATCTGAAATGTGAATGAAAATATTATGAATATATAGTATGAAATTCGACAGGTAGTTTCACCCCAAAATTTTTGACACTGAACGCGTCTGGTGAAAGGATTCTTGGCCATTTTTTTATTATTAATTTTTTACAGATAATTTATTTATCTTAACATACATATTCTGATAACGTTCAATATTAATTTTTTATTTAAATGTTTTTCTATATATGAAAGGCTTTCAAGGCTTTGTCCTGAATTATCAACCCAGAGTCTAAATGATGCCATGAAAACTTTCAGGATGTTTTCTGCGTATGCCGTACTCATCCGATAAAAGTGAATTTACAGAAAGTTTAGCTGCGCCCGAAAATTAAAGTTTTGTTTTTTAAATAGTTCGATTTACACGAAATTTGGTCCAAAGGTAGCTCTTTGCCTAGATTAATTTTTTCTTCAGGAAAGTGAACTTGTGATCGATCTACTCACAGAAATCGTATTTATAGTTCGAGTTGCTTAAAATTTGGAGCTAAATAGCTAAAAATCATACTTGGACCATATATAAAAATGGATTTTTTCTGGTAGTACGAAAAAGACGAAACACTTTTAAAGTCCGATAGCTATGAACTTGACTGCGAAGAGACAATGAAACTATCTTTCAATTATTGTATCATGGCATCAAGGCGAAATTATAGTAGATAAAGTAGTCACATCATATGATTGCTTGTTCTTCCTTCCATTTCAGCAAAACAAACAAAATACATTACAAACTTTCTATTACACCAACAAAATACATTGAACGAATCGTTTTTGACTTTTCGAATCAATGATTACACAAACGCCATGATGAAATAGTAATATATGTATTATATATTATTATTATTATATTGCATATTATTTCATCATGACAAACACTACCGTGTGTGAATTTGCCTTGGATGGTATAAAACAAAAATAAAGTTGTATGAAAAATTCTATGAATTATCTTTTATTGTTTTCGAATGGAAAAGGTATACATACTCCCTTAGGAACTTCTCGTGTAAAAAAGAAATATATGTGCCTAAATGTTATTTGCATACAATATCTGCTGAGTATGTACATGCACTTAAGGTTTTGCAACGACAAATGTGCTTCCGCCAGGGCAAACCGCTGGTTCCGCTGCTAAAGCGGGGAAAACATGCAAACAAAGGAGACTCATATCGATCGACATCTCTCCTTATAATCCATGACCCATTAACTTGGGTTTTTTAAAAAGAAATACTCGTTTATATACATATACATATAATTGGCGTTTTGTAGCCGCTGAAGCAAATTCAGCCGAGCTCTTCTTATAATTTGTGGTTTTGCGTCTTGATGCTTCTCCAACAAATAGAGGGACCTACAGTTTATTCCAAGTTTTTTGTGAGGAGCTTTTATTTCATGTCCGATATACGCTCAGATGGCTTTACATCCCCTGCTTAGGGCCGACGCAATTAGAAAATATAACTTAATTTTTTATTTAAATTAATTTTCTATAACTTTGGATGTTGGTCGAATTAGGATTCGAGCCTTGGCCTTTCAAATGGCAGTATGCAAGGCTGACCACTTGCCTATCGCGGCCGCCGTTTATATATAAACGCAAATAAAAAAAATATATTGGCGAAACGCTTCACTGTTACAAAGCGCCATTATATAAATATATGTATATATAACATAGGCGAAACTTGATATTTTAATAAGAGCGTATCTCTGATATGATGTAAGAATCTTTGATTTTAGCCGTTCAGAGTCGACCAATTCCTAAAAAGTATAGATATTTCCAAAATGTGCAATGACTACAAACAGATTTTTACTAACATGCTTTTACCACACCCGATTTTAAGTATGCTCTGCACCTATCTCCAAACCCTCATCCTTTGATAACATTTACTCTCATATTAATCTTTGTATAACAACATTACACGTTATTAATAACTTATTTTTTGTCATTTTGAATCTACTGAACTTTTCTCAATTACTATCCAACTCCTATAAAGATCCCCTTTGTTGGAATCATCAATGGAAATTTCTCCTTATAGTTAGAGAGTATATAGTACATTTGGAAACGTGTTATGCTACATAAAAACGGCTTCAAATCATTCATTTTATATTAATGGTTCTTTGTGGTTGTGTCTTTCTTACCTTATATTTTTCAACAAATTCATATAGAGACTTGGGGGAGCAGATACGAAAACAAGTAAAAGATTTCACGAATCCAGCTGGTCTCAGTACTGAGGTTAACGACAAATTAAGCGCGCAAATCGATTCTCTAGAAAGATTATCTGGTAACATTTACGCGAAAAAATATCAACGAAGGTATACTTCTACAGCGACGGGATTGTCTGCGGAACAGTGCAGTCAAGTTTTGTCTTCGGAATTTCTACAGTATCTTAATGACGAAAAATTAGGCGAAAGGGAAAAAAGCGACTGAAACTCACTTTATCGCAAACGTACAAAAACCTTTTTTTCCATTAAAAAAGGACAATTCCTTGTAAAAATGTTTAAACGAATTAATCAGGCCGTAATTCATTTGCAATCTAACTACAGTACGCTTGCCAATAGCTCGAATGAGAAATTAGTTAGACATGTGCCTGTACTTTGTGAGCAAGCAATTAACTATCTTAACCCAGGCCCACAGAAGGTTTTTATTGACATGACCTTTGGTGCTGGTGGTCACACTAAACAGTTATTAAATGCACATCACACTATTAAAGTGTTCGCTCTGGACCGTGACCCCGTCTCATATGAACTTGCTCGTTGTGCAAGTAAAGAATATCCAAATAGACTGATACCACTGCTGGGAAAATTCTCTGAGTTACCAATGCTTTTAAAAGAGCATAATGTTAAAAAACACTCAATAGATGGAATTCTTTTTGATTTCGGTTGCTCATCAATGCAATTTGATGAAGCTGAGCGCGGGTTTTCTGTTTCAAAAAATGGTCCTTTGGATATGCGTATGAGTCGAGTATCTAATAGTGAAGAAGTCACAGCGGCAGACATCCTGGCAAGTGCTGAAGAAGATGACTTGGTAAAAATTTTACGTGTCTACGGTGAAGAAAAAGGAGCAAAAAAAATTGCACGAGCAATCGTAGAAGCGCGCTCGGCATTTCATAAGATTGAAACCACAAAGCAGCTAGCAGATTTGGTAGCCTCATGTCTTCAGAGCACACATCGAATGGACAAAATTCAACGATCCACACATATAGCGACAAAAACATTTCAGGCTTTGCGCATATTTGTTAATAATGAGTTAAATGAGATCAATTATGGAATGATTTTAGCCGAAGAATATTTACGATACGAGGGCCGGCTAGTCGCAATTACATTTCACTCTTTAGAGGACACTATAGTGAAACGCCATATAAATGGCAATGTAATAGAGGGTTTGGCCAATCCCGTGCCTTTGAAGTATTGTGGACATGATGTGACTCATGACAAGGAACTGATTGATTCGTTTGTAGGATCCAGTTGGAAACAGCTACACAAACATGTTATCCTACCCAGCGAAGAAGAAGTTGCTAGAAACAGCAGAAGTCGATCAGCTAAACTTCGCGCAGCAATTAAAATAAATGACCACCTTTAGTGTGTAGTATGTATATAAATATATGTATAATATTTATAACTATTTACATACATATATTTCATTAGTTTCCAGAAAATATAATAATAACCTTTATAAACTGATACAATTACTTTAACTTAAATTAATAAAAAAAATACCAGATTTTTGAATTAACTGTTTTCCTGAACATGTAAAATATAAAATTGGATGTTTTTTCTGTTATCAAGTTACGGTTAGGCGCATCTACGTATGAACATATACATACATAAGATTTGGAGATATCATCTCCAAAAACTAGGTAAAGTGGAATCGGTTGAACGCAGAGAATGCACAGAAGATGACGAAACGTTTTAGCAGAACCTTTGGCAGTGTCCGGACCGATGCGATCCAGCAAAAACCGGAAAAGAAAAAATTATAATATTTTGCAAAAGAATACTTTAATAAGTGGATTCCTTTTGGTGGAATATATTTATTGGGCGAATCGAAATTTAGCGTTTTAGGATCGGGAGGAGCATGGTAAATAACAATTAAATTCTTGAGAAAAAAATATTATAGTTGAGGAAGATAAAGGCTTGTCCTACACGGTGTGTCCCAAAAATAACCGAACTTTTTGGATATAAAATAAGATACACATTATATTATCTTTGAAAGTTATTATTTATTCAAAATAGGTTCTATTTGACTCAACACAACCAGGGCATGCATAGATTTTTTTATGTCATTTATAGAAATGTTCTTCACTACCTCGGTTACGGCTGCTTGAATGGCTGGAATATCATCATAAAATGCTCCCTTCATCTTGGTTTTCAGTTTTGGAAATAAAAAATAGTCACATGGCGATAGATCAGGCGAATACCGAGGATGGTCGATGAGAGAAACCCCTTTTTTCATTAAAAATTCGAGCGATTTTTTGGTCGTCATTTAATTCATGTGGAACAAATCGCGCACAGAACTTTCTTTTCCCCAAATCTTCAGTTAAAATTCTCCAAATAGTGTTTTTACTCGTATTCAATTCCTCAGCCAACATTCTCGTAGTAAAACTTGCATCGATACCAATGATTTCACGGACTTTTTCCACCAGTTCAGCACGATTACTAGTTTCTGAACGTCCTGCTCTAGGGTCGTCATTCAAATCCTCACGACCATTTTTAAAACTTGTAAACCACGTATAAACTTGCCTACGACTCATACAATCATCACAATAAACTTTTTTTATTAATTTTCTTTCAAGTTTGACACAAATTTTTATATTTGCTCATTTTTCTATTTTATTTTTGAACCACTAGCACACTTTTGGTTTTATTGAAATGGCTGTCACTTTTACATCTGTCATCCGACTTACATGATGTTAGGCAGAGAAGAATATTTTTCGTTCGCCAAACGCAATCTACAGTGGAGCATGCTTCGTTTAGCAACTGTTTACGGCGCGCTAATTTATAAAATGTCTCTGCCTATTGCTTCATATTGCTTTCGAAGAGAGTAATTGTTTTTGAATAGAAAGAATTATTTAAAACAATATACAGTCAAAGATAAAAGTTTAAATACATCTATAAAATTCCACTTTTTATTAAAAAGTCGCGTAAATAACGGTAAATTTGTTAAAAACATGAAATCACACGGGATAAAAGTTTAAATACAATACATATTATTTCATATTTTGACTAAATTAAACTGAAAATAAAGGGCTTTTAGACGACGTGGGGTAGATATAACCAAATTTTATATTTCCGATGACGCAGTTTCAGACTATGCATTTTTCAGATTTTCTTACAAGGCTTATTTGCTGGTTGAAGTCGCCATAGCAATTTTTCGTGCCAATAACTCGGAGATATGCTTATTGGGATTCAAGTCTGATGATTGCGGCGGAATATAAAGCTGACGAGGAGCATAATACAATAGTCATTCCTTCCCCAAACCTGCTCTATGGTTAAGTCCGTTGTCTTGTTGAAATATCTACGAGCTTCCGAGACCCAAGGAATCCACGGATGACTGCATATGTTGATCCAAAATATTTTTGTGATCAAATATGTTTATTATTCCATCGATAAACTTTAAATGTCCTACGCCAATTACTCCCCAAACCTTGACGTCACCCGCACCGTGCTTAACGGATTGTCTTAAATTTTGAGTTTGACAAGCTTTATGCCAAATTTTTTCGCAGCCAACGCTACTGAACACGTAAAATTTTGATTTGGCCGTAAACAAGAGACTTATCCAAAATAATTCATCTGTATCCTTGAATTTATTTGCAAATTAAAGACGAAGTTACTTATTTTTCTCAGATATTAGAGGCTTTTTACGTGGAACTCTTCTTCGAAAGCTATCTTCCCGTAAAGTTCTTGCTATAGGTTTTGGGTATACATTTTTGCCCAATATTTTAGCGATGCTGTTGGCTATATTTGGAGCACTTATTTTAGGATCTTTTTTTCCATTCTTACATTTACTCTAAAATGCTTAATTTTAATAAAATTTGGAATTTTATAGGTGTATTTAAACTTCAGTCTTTGACTGTACATATACATAAGTGTACGTGGATCAGTAACTTTTTTTTTAATTTTTTCTTTTATTATATATATAAAAACGGACAAGCACATAAATTAAATTAAAACTTCAAAAAGTACCAGTGGTAAAGATCTTCATGGTCGTATAGTTCGCGACAACAACCTATTTTCAACTTAAAAAAATTTACTACTACAAATGGTTATGGGTCCGTCTATAGTGTTAAAATATTGTTAAAATAAATTAAAAACCCCGTTAAATTACAATAATTTTGGATACAATTTACGTTCTGTTCGGGCAAAACTAATGAATTTTTTTTCTTTGGGAGTCATCTTACTTTCTCAATTTTGTTCCTGGATTATTATTAGTAGCTTTTCAAAGCTTGCTTTCCATTATAGAATCGTTAGCTTTTTATTGTATAGTACTCAAAATCTGCACTTCTTATGGTTGAAAGTACCTCATCTTTTGCCGCGGCACAATTAAGCGCGTCAAACAATATTGCTTTCAAAGATGGTTTTCAGTTATAAAGGAGAGCTTTGCAAAATAATCGTCTTTGCTTTTCTAAACGCCATGTCGGAGGAGGTTTTATAATGGTGTGTGAGACTTAAAAAGCTATGTTCGAATTACAGTTCATATCGTCTCGAATAACGGGTATATTGAAATGCTGGTTAACCATTCGGTATTGTCAAAAATAGATTTAAGACAAATATTCCCTAAAAACGTCAAACCTTATGAAATAAAAGGTTTGTTTATTGAGACTGAAAATAGAGTAGAGCAGCTGGAGTCACTCGGAGCAAAAAGTTCATGAAACATTTTTCCGGGAACAATTTTCACATGGGAATTTTTGACTTTTTTGTTGTAAACATATCAAAAAAATTTAACGATATTTTCATACAAATATTTCTTAATAAAATTTGTAATTTTAATTGTCACTTGTATTTAAGTTGTTTGCTGTGCCCTGCGAACATCGCTTTATCTCTTGTTCTTATTTTGCGCGCGTCTGTAAAAATAAAATCTTTTTGCTTGCTTCAAGTTACTCCACCAAAAAAGTCAGAGCAGAAAATCATGATCTGCTTTCTGCAGACTCATAAAAAAAAATAGAGCAAAAAAGTTTTCATGAAACACAATTTTTTTTTAAAAGGGAAACGTGGCGTAAGCTAGAGCAGCTCAATAAACAATAAACAATAAACAATTTTTTTCAAAATTTGTGTGGGCATAACGAAACACTCACAGCTCAAGGTATATAGAATAAAAAATTATGACAACCGCTAACGTCACCGAACCAACTTCGTCTGTATATATATACATTGGACGAGACTTGATATATATATATATATGATCAAAAAAAGAGTAATTTTTTCCTTTAAAAAATATGTATGTAAATAAAACTTCTTAAACAAAAGAAAACACATATTTCTATTGGTAATGCCACCACAGTCGGAGATTTGGCGATTGTACGAGGAGCCTGCTTTAATGAAACTATGGTCCAGTTGGCCGAATACTACCAAAGGTGAAAAAGAGTTTTCAAGTTTGCAGCTTAAAAATTTATATCACCAAATTCTTAAATCGGTATTTATATTGAGGCCTATTCTGCCGAGGTAACAAAATTTACTTTGGTATTAAAATTTACCATTCAGTAATTTTTGTTATTATTTCGTATTCTGTGCTCACTGTTACCCTGTAAATTTTGTTACCGACGAAATAGAAGGTAACAAAAAAATATGTTGTTTGATTTTGTGTTGTTAGTTTGGAAAAAAAAAGCCAAAATGGGTAGGCATATTATAGGCCTGGAATTCATTGAAGATAAAGAAAAAAGTGCAAGAAGCCGTATCTTAAGAAGTTTTCGAGATTAAAAAATATCTCTTTAATTTGTAAGATAACGTTTTCATTCAGCTTTTTTTGTTGTCCAGACATATTTTCCATAATTAGGTTCAAATATTTAAGATTTAATAAACAAATTAATAAAACTTTTTATTTTTTTTGTGCACCGTCGATTTTCTCTTTACTTTATCAACTGGCAAATGTAATTTGACAAGGACGAAAAAAACAGTGCTGCCAAATTTTTTTCAAACATTGTAACCAGTTCGCCAGAATACCAAATTCAATTTCTGGTGTTAAAGAAAAGTAACAAAATTTACTTTACCGGTAACATTGAGAATAGGCCAGTAAATGTTTTATAATAGAGTGCGTTCGCTTAGAATTTTGATAATTTTTAACGTTTTTGACATTATTTTCTCATGCCATTCGTATTACATGACATCGGAAGTAAGAGTTGCTTACTTTACAAATTTTCGGCATTTGAACCAACTTCGTCATTGAGCATATGATTTCGCTTTTGTCGTAACTTTATATTCTATAAACCTTGCTCACAAGCTTTCGTATGTACTAAATGTAATAAATAAAATACCAGTGCTTTAGATATCGCATATATTTTTTTCTGTTTATTTAATTTTTTAAGATTGTTTTAGCATTACGCGATTCCGAGTGTTTTGTGTAATAGACTTACTTTCTAATATACTCTTTAGCATACCTTATCTTCAGAAGCATTAAGAGATAATAACACTTATCGACACTCACTTATGATTACTTGACTGTTTATTTTTCATTTTCTTAGGGCATGTTGAGGACATCAACAAGCATGATTAAAAACTCGTATTCCATCAAATGGTTTCGGCTTAAGTGTATATATATTTATACTACATATCTATATTTATAAATACTAAACTCGTACTTAAAAAATTATAAGTTGCTCATTCACAATCAATACCGCGCGTTAGATACTCGGCTTTGGTGAGTTCCTAGCCATATTGGGTCGCCCTAATTTTAATATTATTATATATTGTATGTAATATTATTATACATGTATGTATGTAGATACAATAGTTGTTTACCCTAGCTCTCGCTAATACATTTGGTACGCCTTATCACAGAAGCAGTAGGCTTTTCACTGCTTTAGGTGCTTGTTACCTGGACGTTGACTATTCCAAAACAACAAAAGTCAATAAGAATAAATCTATATCCTTGGGTTAACTATAAAGAATGTGATTCTTGTTTATTTTATATTGTTAGCGCCAAAATTAATTTTAATTTAGCGCAGCTGGCGTGACTTTTACCCACGATTTTGCCCGAGGTCAGACCTTCCATTTCACTACCTCAAGCCTCGCTCAAGGCTAGACTTCTCCTACCCTTGCAATGGCAGCCTCGTACAGCGCCATTGACCGTTTATCCTCGCAACCTGAACCATCCAGCATCTGTACAGGCGGGACTGGTTCTGGGGTTCTCCAGCATAACACCCAGGATGACGTACGCTAAGGCCGCCTTCACTCACCTCCACTGAACCCTTGGGATACCTGCCATCGTTTCCCATCCTCGATGGTATTTTTTGTGGTCACTTGTCCCCTGTATCCTCCCATACCAGGTTGCGAGACCCCCATAGAAGTCGGCGTCCTTACCGTGCCGGCGTTTGATGACGTTCAGACTTAGATTGTTCCGCCGTTGCCAACCCGATCTTCTCCGAAGTCCTACTAGAGCAGGGTCCATATTCACGGTATTTGTACCGGCTTTGCGCTTTTTGGAGCAGAAATATACTTTCGGCGCCTACACCTGTGCTGTCTGCTTAGGTAAGGTTGAAAATTTTTTGTTTGGGTTCTTTGTCTTACCCCCAGCCGTAGCCGCTATCCTTACTCGAAGTGCGTAGTCGCTATGCTTATCTATGAAATCATGAGAAAACAGAAAGGCCATGTGACGGTTGGCACCCACCCTTATGAGATAAGGAGCTTAGAGCCAGATCAAGTGTAAATAACAGTGGTCTTCTCAACTGTACCTACACTAACAACTTAATGAAGACGAGATCGGAACGTACTACGAGGCCTGCCAAGCCTTAAAGCAATTTCTGTAGTGTTACCCTTGCATGCTCAGGTAAAATAATGCCACGTACTACGAAAGAGTCAAAAACGGGAAGAGAGTCTGTGGACGAAAATGATCAAGCCAAATGGAGTCAGCTCACTTAATTTGTGCCTTACAAGTAATGCATACATTGCCACCACGTGGAGGGAAAGGAAGAAGAGGATTGGTGCAAAAGCATCACTTCCGTAGATCAGCCATCGAGTTGCACATCACTCCCTTTTATGACGCCTTCAGCATTACTAACTTCCGATTCCTGAATGCCAATTGTGTTGTGTGCGGGCGATGATTTCTCTCTATTGCCTGCTTGATGTAACGAGTACCTTAACTATTCAATTGAATACTTGATATCATTAAATTTAATTTAACAAAATTATATTTGGACACTAAATTTGTTATTACAATATATCAAGATGCTGTTCTTTACACTTGCTCATTTTTACTGGCTAAAATTTCCCCAACCCGTAAATTCAGCAACGTTTGATACTCTCCATCAGCTCAGCGAACAGGACTTATATTTAACAAATGGCAACGAAAATGTAAATAAATAATTTGAATTTCTCATTTTAGGCGATTAATATAAATAATTGGTAAATAAGATGTGTAGGCTAGTTTTATGTATGACTTTTTTAAATTGCTTTTTGAATAAAAAACTAAAACTTAAACAGCATAAGTTTAATTGTTTATATTCATATATACACATGTCGGTTAATATATTTTAAAAACAGCTCCCGTTATGATTTGACAAGGGTGGAAAATGTGGAGCCCATCCCCTGATAGTGAACAGAATGATTAAATTATTTTTTTTTTTTAGAATAGATTAAATGGGAAAATATCTTCTTTAAATAAGCCCATTTTATTTATATAACCACGCTTATTAGTGTCTAACTAAGCAAGCTGTTTGGAAATTAATTTGAATTGTAATAACTATCTTAGTTGCCTCTTTTTTAGTACCAACAATATCCAAAAGCAAATTTTTTAAGGCTTCTTTAACATTGCAAGTTTTCAGATCAAATAACAAAACAAAATCAAATAAAAAAAAGTCAAATAAAAATAATTATGTATATACGTATGAATACATATTTGTATACGACGTATAAACATTATATACATGTGTGTTAGTGTTATATTATATGAATTAATACTTGTTTGTAAACTGCTTCTACTCCATCACTTCTATTCCATTTTACACTCACAGAAGCGTTTCGGTGATAACATTATTATAATACAATAATACGTGTACATAAGTACATATACATATATGTATATGCAAAATACACAGGCAATCAGTTATAGCAAAACAAATAATTCACTTGCCTGACCTGAAGATCATTTTGATATTCCAGACTAAACTGATTTTGGTATGTGTTGCTAATCAGGCTTTAGTACATATTCGTTTAACATAAGTCTTGTAATTGCATTTCGCTGTTGGCTTCCAAATAGTACGGTTTATATTGAGTGCACCATTCTTATTTACATACATACTATATACATATTTAAATATTGGTCTGAAATTTTCGTGCCTTAGATCCTTTAGAGAAACCCTACGAAGTAAGATGTCGGGAGGCGCCAAGCTGATCTCAGGCACTGAAGTGGCCAAGTAAGTGTTATTGAATGCTTTTGAATTAGTATTGTATGACACCTAAATTAAATTGTTTTTATTTTTCAAGTGAAATACGAGTATCTTTAAAACAACAAATTGACGATATTAAAGCTAAGCTTCCGAATTTCACACCCGGTCTCCGAATTTTACAAGTGGGTGGACGTGAGGATTCTAATGTTTATATTCGCATGAAGATCAAAGCAGCTACCGAAATTGGCATCACAGCTGAACACATAAAACTACCACGTACTGTGACCGAAATCGAGCTACTTGAGAAGGTGAGTTATGCAATTTGCACTTAAAAAATTTTATACATGAATACATCAATCGAACGCGATTCTCAATTACACTCCACAAATCAAATAATTACAATAGATATGCATATGCATGTGCAGATTGGTCTATGATAAGTCATGTGCAAATGTAAAATATTTTTTTTGTTTATTTTATTGAAATAGATAACGGAATTGAACTTAGATCCCAATGTACATGGCATTATAGTGCAAATGCCTCTTGACTCTGAAACTACAATTGATTCTCATAAGGTCACTGATGCTGTTTGCCCAGATAAGGATGTCGATGGTCTTCATACAGTCAATGAAGGACGTGTAGCCATAGGTGATCTGAATGGTTTCCTGCCTTGTACACCATGGGGTTGCATCGAGCTAATTAAACGCTCTGGTGTTCAAATTTCTGGGGCAAAGGCAGTTGTTGTCGGGAGAAGCAAAATTGTAGGCACACCCGTATCACAATTATTAAAGTGGGAGAACGCCACGGTCACCGTTTGCCACTCTAAAACAAAAAATCTAGAGGAAATTGTAAGTACATACACATATCTTTTTGAAATTAAAATAAAGTAAATTAATAATTAATGAAAAATGCTGGTTGGCTTAAATTCAAGTAATGTTACTTACTAAATACTAGCTACTCTCCATTTATTTTTAGTGTCGTACCGCCGATATTTTAGTTGTTGCTATCGGTGTGCCGGAAATGGTGAAAGGAAGCTGGATTAAACCGGGAGCTGTTGTTGTTGATTGTGGAATCAACATCAAGCCAGGTATTTATTTGTGTATTCCCTTTATATGGATATAATCATTGCTTTCAAAGTGTTAAGTCACCATCCTAGACCTCTGAGTTGGTGTACTCTTGGCAGCTGTTTAAAGTTTATTACTTGTTATTAATATGAATTATTAGTAGACTTTGATATGCATACATACATACATACATACATAAAAATCATGATTCAATAATTAAAGGTTGGATAAGTAAACAGTTTTCTCGCTCGCTCTTGAAAAAACAAACTACCATAAAAACTCTTTCCCTCACTAGTTCGCCCCTACGGGTCCTACAAGAGTTTGCTGCAGTCAGGAAACCTTCTGTAAGTCGCAGTACCTTTTCGTAGAATTCTCGAGCAATAAACCTGTCGGCTCACTTCTCAAGCTCTTCGTACTCACGCATTTCGCCCTGCTTCTTTTTTCCCGCAAATGCGTCTTGGTTCCCTCTTCAGCTCTCGGTATCTTCCCACCCGGAAGGTGTTGTGGTCGCTCGAAGATTACGAGGTGGACAACCTTGTGCTGGAATCGAGTACTAAAGACAACCATATTTCGGTCTCCGGCGGGGTCGATATTTCGTTGTTGAGGCTAAATTTGCCGACAATTGTGCCAAAGATATGCTCTTTGCTCACCCTTACCTTGAAGACGCACAACATTGTGTCACATCGCCCTCCTTTTCCTTCGTGGCGTGGACCCAAGTCAACGTTGTATTGAAAAATTTCGTTTTGATGCGGATTGTTGTGAGAAGTTCATCCACCGGAGTGGATGCCAGTACTCGACGACAGAGTTTCTCCCCCACCACAAATCCACAAGGACCCAACTTATTCCGTACGTGTCCAGTACATCCGACTTCTTGGACGACGGTGGTGTCAGCTTTTAATTTTATTAGGACATCAAATAGTTGGGTAACGGTTTAGATTACTCGAATAGTTTTTTTTTGCCATAATTGCAAATTTTTGACCAATTAAATGTAATTTTACTATTTATAATTTTATTATTGAATTAAATGAAGGGACTGCATTTTTACATTATAGATCTTCATATCTTTGTTGCATATAATTTAGAACATATATATATATATATTATTTAAATTACCCATTATATCTCTTACTTTTTTAACTCCTTTTTTGCTACCTTTTCCCTATTTTTTTTTTAATTGAAACATATTTTCTCCCTCTCTCTGCTACCATTTGAAAGGGTGTGCCAAAACTCCCTTGTCACTACTTATCCGCACTTTAATCATTGAATCATGCATAAATATCTATTTAATCGGTTTTCATATAAAAAATAACTTCAACAAAGCTCTATTTCAAGGGAGTACGTGACTATCTACAACGTTGGGGCAGATAAGAGCAGAAATGATACCTAAATAGTTCATTCTCCTTATCAGTTCCGTTCTCCTGACCCCTCGGGTCAGAATTTAAATAAACAACTTCATATACATATTTTAATCAGATCAATGTATGTCTTTAGTGTTCACAATGACATCCTCATAGTATTAACTAATCTTTTTTTTATTTCGTCATATTACGCTATTATTTTACCACCTACAGATTCTACTAGACAGAGCGGCACTCGATTAGTCGGTGATGTTCTTTTCGATGAAGTAAAACAAGTAGCTTCTTTTGTAACTCCCGTTCCTTGTGGTGTCGGACCAATGACTGTTGCAATGCTAATGAAGAATACGGTACGATCGGCCTTAACGGCTGCTGAAAAATTAGTACAAACTACATGGGATTTGGCGCCATTAACTTTGGCTAAAGTTAGGCCCGTGCCGTCGTAAGAACAAAATCTTGTTTGTATTAATAATGACTAGAAAATAATAATAAATCATATTTATTTTTTATAGAGACATTATTATTGCACGATCCCAAAAACCCAAGCATATCTCTAATTTAGCAAAGGAGATCGGTTTGATTGGCAGGGAGGTATCGCCATACGGGGACAAAAAAGCTAAAATATCTTTGAGTGTTGTTGAACGCTTGAAGAATAGGTCTGATGGTTCCTATATAGTTGTAGCTGGGTAAAGAGCAAGTATTTATTTACTTTCAGTGATTTGCATTAACAAGTTTTTTTTTTTTAGTATTACGCCCACTCCGCTTGGTGAAGGTAAAAGTACAACACTAATTGGACTTGTTCAGGCGCTTAGTGCGCACAAGGGGCGTAACGCGATAGCTTGCATGCGTCAACCATCACAAGGTCCAACATTTGGTATTAAGGGTGGTGCTGCCGGTGGTGGTTACGCCCAAGTAATACCCATGGATGAATTTAATTTGCACTTAACTGGTGATATTCACGCTGTTTCTGCAGCCAACAATTTGCTTGCCGCTCAACTGGATACCCGTATTTTTCATGAAAATACCCAAAAAGATCAATCTCTTTATGATCGGTTAGTGCCACGTATTAAAGGTCAACGCAAATTTTCAAAAATACAATTACGCCGCTTGCAACGATTAGGAATTTCCAAGACTGATCCAGATTCCTTAACACCAGAAGAACAAAGTCGTTTCGCCCGTTTGAACATTGATCCCGATACAATAATGTGGGAACGAGTTATTGATATGAATGACCGTTATTTACGTGAAGTTACAATTGGTCAATCACCCACCGAAAAAAATTTTACTCGTAAAACATCGTTTGCTATTTCAGTGGCTAGCGAAATAATGGCGGTGCTGGCTCTTGCCACGGATATGGAAGACATGAAGCAACGCTTAGCAAATATGGTGGTAGGATTTGATCGCAACGGGAAGCCTGTGACTGCTGATGACCTTGGTGTTACTGGAGCTCTTACTGTTTTGCTAAAAGATGCTCTAGAACCTACTTTAATGCAAACATTGGAGGGCACTCCAGTTTTGGTTCATACTGGCCCGTTTGCAAATATAGCTCACGGATGTTCCTCAATTGTTGCTGATAGAATCGGACTAAAATTAGTGGGCGGAAAAGGTTTCGTATGTACAGAGGCTGGTTTCGGATCAGATATTGGCATGGAAAAATTCTGTAATGTAAAGTGCCGTTCGTCTGGCCTAAAACCTAATGCTATGGTGTTAGTCGCTACAGTTCGTGCGCTCAAAATGCATGGAGGTGGTGCTCCAGTCACTCCTGGCGCTCCTCTCAATAAGCAATATACTGAGGAGAATTTAGAATTGCTAAAAAAAGGTCTACCTAATCTTCTTCAGCATATTTCCAATGGTCAGAAATTTGGTTTCCCCGTTATAGTTGCTATTAATCGTCATACGTAAGTAACAACATTATCCTTCAGAAATTTCAATTGAATAGCATATCTTTATATATTTATTGCCAGATCTGATACGCATGCTGAACATAATCTTATTAAGGAAGCCGCATTAAATGCCGGTGCATATGCGGCAGTTTTATGTACGCATTGGAGCGATGGTGGCGAAGGTGCTTCCGAGCTAGCCGACGCGGTAATAAAAGCTTGTGAAAAGCCGAGCGGATTCAAGTTGCTTTACGACATTAATTTGCCTCTTGAGGATAAAATGAATATAATAGCGCAGAACATGTATGGGGCAGCAAAAGTAGAACTAACGCCAAAAGCCGTTGCATCTTTGTTAAAACTGAACTCGGCCGTAAGTACATTTTACTTACTTTTATTTCAATTTAATTAAATAATTAATATTTTGGAATATTTTAAGGGTTTTGGAAATCTACCTGTTTGCATGTCGAAAACTTCCGGTTCTCTTACTGGCGATGCAGCTATTAAGGGAGCGCCGAAAGGATTTACTTTGACTGTACAGGATGTGTACGTTTCTGCAGGAGCTGGCTTTGTGGTTGCTATGTGTGGGGAAATCACCAAAATGCCAGGTCTTTCTACGCGCCCTGCTATCTATGATATTGATTTTAATACAGAAACTGGAGAGATCGAAGGATTGTTTTAAGGAATTTGTTTAATGCTAAAAAACTTTGACGTAACGGTTTTGTACATATACGCACATTTGATACGAAAATAAATGTACATATGTACATTAAAAATTTTTATTTTGAAGCTGCATTTATTTTACCTTTGTAATTATTTTGACATATCTATTAAACAGAGCAGAAACAATTTTTTAGACTTTCTGTTGTGTCTCTAGCTCGGAGAACATTGCTGTTATCGTGCCAAATTGAAGCAGGCGTTCGGATCATTGTCCATCATTGCCTGAAGAACATGTAATTTATCCCCGCCAAATAAAGTACTCAATAATAATAACCAAAGTGAAACTGTAAAGAATGCCCGAACGTTATTTATCGTATGTATATATTCTATAATGAAACCCACTGTATGTACTCCATGGAGTACCTTTGTGGAATTGTAGGAAAAGTTAAGAGATTCAATTTAAATCTGTGTTGATAAGTGTAAATTTATTAATGTACATTTTTAGTTGAATAACATATGCACGTATAATAGTCCTTTTCGGTGACCTGAACCGCGTTCGGTAACTTATGCTCGAAAGTGAACTGCTAACTCGCCGACTTTTATCACTTCTGCATCACTGCACTACAGCTAAAATTTGCGAAATCCTCGACTACCCTTTTCATCGGCTGGGACAGAAGTAGTGGCTCGAACTCGGTGTGAAAGTTAATGCCAATTAACATCCGCATTATGACGGCAATTTCCACAAAATTACGGAGCCACAACCAAGTTTTCAAAGCGTTGGCCGGAAACAGCTCTCAGTAAAAATTAGCGAGTAACGAAGTTTCAAAACTTTTTCTCTCATTGTACGCGGTTCGGTAAAAATTGATAACAATTGTTACTGCCCATCAGCTTACCGAATAGCTGTTTTTTAACAAATGGGAACAAATGTAAATAATTAATTCTTGAATATAATTCTATAATAAATTGGCGCTGAAGCGATTTTCATCCTCCTCCATTTATAATAATATATATAAATAAATATAACAAATAAATTAAGAAAGCCATCTAGTAGCCAAATTTCCTCAAATACTTAAAGACGAAAAAATAATTGAACGAATTCTAATTTTAACCGTAATTCATAACATGTTTCATAGAAAATATTTATATGTGCTATTTGATTTGTGTTGTGAATTTTAAAGTGTAAATAAAAATAAAGTGGTGAATAGCGAAATGTTTTTTTTTAACAAGTTATACTGGAATTGTTGCTTAATGTATTTGTTTTTGAATAGAAATGCCGCGTGGAAGTGAGTTAGCAGAGGAAGAATGTTGTTTGAAGAAGGTGTTAAATAAAGGGAGCTGAAAGTTGCGATCGAAATATTGTTGTATACTTTTAAAAAATATGGATAGTTATTGCGTGATTAAGCATAGTGGTCGAGAGCTCACGCAGTAATTGCGTATTGCGTTGCTTTAAGCCAAGATATTAATCCCAATAAAACATTTTATGGGCATACTCTCGGGGAAGATTTGTTCACATTCCAGACAGTTAAGCAGCTTAAAGATGCTATAAAAGCGAAAATCGATTTGAAAACCCTACAAAAATTAGTTAAATCTATGCCTCGCAGACTGAATCTAAAATAAATTGTGATTATGATTTTGCATATATACATATATATATTGAAGATTTTGAAATATTTTCTTTTAGTGCTAATTATCCTATATTAACAAAAAATAAAATTTTAAAAGCTATGTATAGCTTGAAACATTGCACATATAATTCTTTTGTAACCAATTGACTATATTTAGATCGAACTTGTCAAGATTCACATATGTACATAGCTTTCTCATACCAAAAGCCTTTGTAACTGCTGATTTTTAACATTGTTGTGGAATCTCAAAGCTCCTTCATGAATTCAAAGAACGCGTATTGCAATCATGAAAAGGATCTTTTAAGAATTACTACTTATAAAATGGAATTTCAACACGACCACTTTTAGAATTCACAGCTTCCCAACAAGTACACATAAAAGTTGAACGATCCATGATATCGATATAAAGTTTTCCATCTAAGTGATCCATTTCATGTTGAGCTATTCGCGCATTCCACCCGCTTAATTCTATATTAACTTCAATGCCGTCCAGATTTGTTCCTTTTAATGAAACGGAATCATATCGCTCAACTTCTGCTGAATAACCGCGAACACTCATACACCCTTCGGGATGTTTGTGCTTTTGGTAATTAGTTACACTCATCGAAGGATTTAACAGCACCTGCCAAATCATTAAATGGTTAAAAATGCTTTATATATTTTTGTGTATGTTATATTTTTTACTGTTAATGGGAGTGTCGACATTTTTCTGGCTTCGTATACAGGCAATGAAAAATGTTCTTTAAGTCCTTCCCGAAATTCCATAACAATTATTCTAAGGGATATGCCTATCTGTGGTGCTGCTACCCCAACGCAATCAAATTTTTTTAACACTTTGACCATTTTTTCAGCAATTACCTTTACCTCTTTACTAGTGATCAGATCTTCAGGCACTTTTGATGCTTTTGTGCGTAACACAGGATCTCCAATTTGTGTAAAGTGATCGTATGGAGGTTTATTTATGGCCTTTGGAGTCCAAAACTCCTGATACATTTTGCGAAAAGATTTTTCTTTTCGGCTACTTGAGCTTATAAAACGCATTCCATTAAAAAACCTTTTGGATAAGATTGTCGGTAATCCACGAAATTGCATCATTGCAGGCTAGGCGAATCGATTACAGCTGGTCGCAATGGTGAAAAGAGTAAATAAATATTGGTGTTCCCGTATACCACAGAGAACGTAAATACAACGCGAAGGCAGAGAACGTAAATACAACGTATGCATTTCACCACTGGCCGTCAGAAATTAACAGAGTTTGCTATTGATGCATAACATTACTGAGCGAAGTAAAAATAAATATTTTTTGAATTATCATACATAATTTGGATGAATAACATGGTTGGGTCATCGGCACAAGCATTATATTCATACATAAAATCTAAATACGGCACTCTATGCAAGTTGAATATTTCCATCTTGCAAATTGAGTGCGAAATTGCCTTTTTGCCAGTTCCCTATTGGGTTGCGTCTTCAATTTCGACTAGCTCCCCATTGGGTTTTGTATGTGCTAAGCGATCCGTCGTGACTTAACATTTGCGCCTTCTCATTATATTAACATTCTCTGCCATCACCATGACAACAGTATTTTAATAGCCGTTGCTAGTTCAATCTGAGAACTTATAATAACTTATAATGAAAGCTTCTGAAATATTAATATTTCTTTTTTAATTTTTCACTAAATAATAGTAAAATATCATATAAAAATGAAATGAAAAATTATTTTAAGTTCTCTGAATCCCATAGCTTAAATAACTGCCACTGATAAAGACAAACCGAAAAATCGTATTCATGTTAATGTACTAATTTGCGTTGTCAATTTTAAGGGTGATAAAAAGGAATTTTCATAAATAACTAATATTTTTAATAAGTAAAATAAAAATTAATTAATATAATATATAAATAATTATTTTAAATTTGATTTCACAAATCAAATATTAATAAATAAGTTGAAAAAATATTTATTTTAGTAAAAAATTCTAGAGTTTTCACTATGAATGACTGAAATTATAATTGCATTTGTTCCTCACGATTATATATCAAATTAAATATGGTCATACACACAGTATACCAATTATGGCAACGGAACTTTAAAAAGGATCATTGGCGTAATGGATTGCGTCGATTGATTTTTATATTTTGAAATTGCCATTCAAACTATCAATCATAAAAACAACTCCATATGCGCAGCTCCTGTTACTCCTCTGCGCGCTACTCTATTCAAAAAGCTATTTGCTATAAGAAGAAGAAGCATAAGTATAACAGAAAAAACTACCTCATACAAATCCTCTTCCCTTCATCTACAAACAGTTTCCTCAAGCGAAGTCAAATTTTGCTAAAAATCAGAATTAGAATTTCATCTCACGCCAAAGTCAAAACACGTACATTCAAGCATTTTGATATGTATACGAAAAATGCACACAATCTTAATAATGCGCATGCTCTTCCCTCTTTCAACCCGCCATCCACAAACGTTTTCTTCGCGACGATGACAAAATTTACAAAAATCAGAATTCAAGTAGGTCTAAAGTTGAAGACACATACATTGAAAGCGACCAATGTATATATGAAAATCACACATATTTCCAAAAACTTGCCTATTTCCTTCCCCTATACTCGCCATCCACATGCAGTTTCATTCCGACGATAGCAAAATTTGCAAAAATTAGAAATTCTAGTTGAGCTGAAGTAAAACACAAACACATTGAAATGTACCTGCATGTATATGAAAGACTCTTACATACACAAAAGTATGCCAACTTCGTTTCCCTTGCTCCTCGACAAGCGATTCCTTGGCGACGATTTACAATTTGGCAATTTCAAAAAATAAAACGCAAAAAACATGCGAGAGGAGGATAGGAACCCGCGCAGCTTGGGCAAAATCAATCGACGCAAACCATTTTGCCACTGATCACTTTGCATTTTCGTTGGCATAATTGGTATTTATTTAGATCGCTGACAAAAGTATTGACAAAATCTCAAATAATATTCAAGAGAATGACTGAGTGTATGACCATATTTAATTCGACATATGAACTATGAGGAACAAATGCAATTATAATTTCAGTCATTCATAGTGAAAACTCTAGAATTTTTATAATATTTTAATATTTTTCCAACTTATTTCTTTAAATCGAGTTTTTTAAATATGTTTTCATATAACATTTTCAAATTAATTAATTTTTTTAATATTTAAAAAAAAAAATTTTAATACTTTTAATATTTTTCATTATATTAAATTCATTTTTAGCACACTTGGAATTGCCAAAGCAAAAGTATGCAATAAATTGAAAAAATGATTGAATAAGATTCTCTGTTTACAGTTTGGTAAATCCCTTTCCCAAAGTTTTTCAGAAATTGTTTGAAGCAGGCTCGCTGTTGCAACGGATTTGCACCTTCTCGTTACTATAAGTTCTTTGCCTGGCTGTACTTGGTATTTCCGAATGGCGCCAAACAACAAAAAGATGAAACGCACTTCGCAATGTTGTTAAAACGGTTATAATCGCGTAGGCGGTGTCTACCCCAGTAAAGTAAGTAAGTAGCTAAAATTCAATTACTCACTCGAAAAATTGCGTATATTGGTGGATAAATATTTTTAAACGATTTTTATGTAAGTAATAAAACGAATTCTTGAAGACTTGTGTTATTTCATAAATGTATTGCCTTTTTTCCAACAAGGAAGCGGGTTTTGTCGCTACTACACGAAGAATATATCGATTTAAAAATTGCCTAACTAAAATTTCAAGTAAGGAATGAATCTAATTCATCTATAAACACGAGTTTTTAGCTACTGTATAAATGGACAGCGGACAATGAATACAACACACATACTATTATTGTTATGCACACTTGCCAATAATAAGAACACATTAGCCTGGTTAAAATTTTAAATATATTAAAAATATTAAAAGTTTATTAAAAGAAAGGCATATAAAAGGGTATGTGCCCCGAGAAATATACAAAAGACGGTATACTTATATACAAAGAGTGTATATGTATATGTATACGTATATTAATTTAAATATGTACGCATTATATATGTGTGTAAATATGTGCTACACTAGACCGCTTGTATGCTACAACAAATATTAAACATACCACATCATTTTTCTTATATTTGTAACATACTTTTCTCAACACACAACGGTCGAAATCACAAATAATAGAGTCACATTTACCTTAATTTTGAAAATGTCTAATATCCGAATATAAAGTTTAGGATATAATGTTTTCGAATATTGTAGTATTAAAATGCCAAAAGCAAGCTGCATTTTGTGTCAAAAGGCATTGACTAACGAAAATGTGAAGCTTTTCCATGCTCCCAAGAATGAAGCAAAGCGAAGAATATGGTTGGAATCCTGTGGTGTGGATTTCAGGTTAGGGACGAGAGTTTGTGTCCTCCACTTTTCCAACACAGATTTTATATCTGTCTCAGTAAGCGATGACACTCCAATGCTCCTTAGATACTTGGAACAAACCCGAAGAGCTAAAATCGGAATTTGTCGACGCATCTACCCAATTATCTAGGTAATTACCTTTATATATATACTACATCCATGGATGAACACTTAACATCACTTGAAAATGAGGTGATGATTTTAAGAGAAAAGTTGCAGAAAAGCTTGCTGACCATATTCTATTCACTGGACATGGAGTGATGTATATCCAGCAATAGCTTACACTCCGCTGGACCGCGTGCATACCGATATTTATATAATAAAGGTTATCCTCCACCCTGTGAATCCAAAAAGTTGATGCTTGACGATGACGTTCTTAATTTTTACTTGGTGTAATCAATGGCGTCAATAATACTTCGATTGATTCCTTCAGAACTCTAGTAGATGAAGACGAGGTAGACCCAGAGGAGAACACATTTATAGAGGCGTATGAAAATAATCCCGATGAGCACAATAGCTTTCAGGAAGATGCTCTGGAGTACGTCGCAGGCTACATAATACGAAAATTGTGCCTTAAAATTTGTTCATCGGCAGAAGCAACATTCACGTGGGTCGACGAAATATCTATGGGGGACTTATCTAACCCTCTTTCTTACAAAAATAAAATTACTCAAAGCGATATTTATACAGTTCATTGGCAATAGTTTTCAAACTTGCTCTGGATTTCTGCAGAAGTGTAATGTAAAAAAATAGTTTTTCAAGTGTAGAATGTATTTTAGGATAAAAAGTTGAAATAAAAATAACAATTAAGATATTAAGATAATTAAGATCGACATTTCTGTGAAATATAATGTTTTACGTGTAAAACTACTTTTAATGTTCAAGTTAGCTTTATAATTTTTTAAATTTGTATTGCGCTGCTGTTATGTTTTTAATTTTTGAACACACAAAGAAAGCCAATATTGGCTATTTGGACTTTAATATTGTACTTATAAATGTTTGTAATGTTCGTTATGATGTTATATTATTATAGAACAAATGCAAGTACCTACGAAATTGTGTATAAACACTTGCTGTTATATAATTACTAAGATTATCAATGTCTTCTTGCCGTTAGCTTTCCTGTTTAAGAAATAAAGTAGTTGTTATGCACAATAATTTACCTGCAGTAAAAATGAAATGAAATGAATGTATATTTTTAGAAATTTTCAATATTTTATAAATTTCCCTAAAAATCCCTGAATTCTCTTTCCTTTCAAATTCGAAAATACAACGTTGAGCTAAGGCAGTGTCGAAGTCTCTTTTTACTCTACTTACTTCACTTGTATATTATTTTCAACCCCCCCGAATGTATTTTTGTTATGAAAGTCGATTCAATGTTTACAAAACGCCAATTTACGTGTGTACATACATACATACATATGTATGTAAAATATAATTTTATATTATTGTACCTATTTTGTGATTGATTTATGTACCTACGTATTTGTTTTGTACATGCATATATGTATTGTATATGTGCATATATAAGTGGAGTATAAATATATGAACGGCTGCAGAGAACTTATAACAAAAGTTTTCTGATCAATTTCTGACTTTTGCATAAATTTCTGATCGAAACGGCTTGTTGGTGACGGGAGTAAGGGAAATAGATCGCACAATACTTTAAGTGTACATTAGAGAGCCTTGAATCAATTTATGATTTTTGGCAAAATTTGACTTCGTCTTAAGGATACTCTTTATAGGCGGGGAATA